ATTCTATTCTATTCTATTCTATTCTATTCTATTCTATTCTATTCTATCCCACTCCACTCCACTCCACTCCATTCCTTCCACCATTGTGTCCCTTGTCTGATCGGGCTGAGGTCAAATTCTCCTCCTCTCCTTCCAAGTTGCTGTCACCCTTGCTGGGAAGTCTACTTTGGCAGACGTGCAATTTTTAGCCTTCAATTTTGATTTGCCACGTATTGTTGTCCTAATCCGCCACCCTTCTCCTGTCCTGGCCCGGGACCAAGCTCTCCTCTCCACCAAAAGTGTGGGAAGGTTCCTCTCCTCTAACCTCCCGTTGCTTTTTTCTTCTCCAGGACAAGCAACTTCAGAACCAGCCAACTTTTGCTCCTCAGAGCCATGTAAGAACGGAGGGACCTGCAGAGACCTGGAAGACGGCTACCTCTGTTTGTGTGTCCAGAGTCCCGTAGCTTATGCGGGAAGGGACTGTGAACTGCTAGCTGAGCCATGCGATGGACATCCTTGTCCATCCGGGTGGAGCTGCCGTGGGGCACCCGGATCCCTCAATTACACTTGCCACTGTGGGTCAAGCTTGGCAGATGCCTCCTGCGGAAAGTCCCAAGCGGATGAGTGCACGGCCAACCCTTGTCCTCAACCTGGTTTTGAGTGTGTCAACCTCCAGGATGGGTACGGTTGTCACTGCCCGAGTGGAAACCATTGCCTCTCGAGGCCTTCCATTTGCTCCAGTCAACTGTGCAACAACGGCACCTGTCTGGAAAGCGGCGGGACCTACGCGTGCCAGTGCCTGCCTGGTCAGGCTGGTAGCCACTGCGAGGAGGAGGTCGACGAGTGCGCCTCCAACCCCTGCCAGAATGGGGCCATCTGCCTCGACCGCGTCAACGAATACAGCTGCTTTTGCGTGCCTGGGTTTCAGGGCTACCACTGCGAAATGGACATCAACGAGTGCGCCTCCCGACCTTGTCAACACAACGGCACCTGCCTCAACCAGATAGACCATTACGTTTGCCAGTGTCTGCCCGGCTACGCAGGTATTGTGGGGCTTCTCATCTTCGTCAGGCTCTGGGAGGCGGCCGTTCGGTGATTCGCCAACCTCCCACCAATGATATGCAGTCGTGCCACCCAGCTCTTAAATTGCAATGACAGAACTGATGTTGCTGGTGGCGCAGAATAGCGGGGGTGGCGTGGTGGTTAGAAGGCAGCATTGCCGCCTAATTCTGCTGACTGCCAGCAGTTTGATTCTCACTGGCTGAAAGTTGACTTAGCATTCCATCCTTCTGGGGTCAGTAAAATGAGGATCCAGATTGTTGGGGGGTGGGGGGTGGGAATAGGATGACTCTGTAAACAGCTTAGAAAGGGCTATATATAAGCAGTATATAAGTGCTATTGCTGTCTGTCTGTCTGTCTATCTAAATATCTATCTATCTATCATCTCTATATCTATCTAAGAGCTGTGGTGCAGTGGTTAGAATGCAGTACTGCATGCTAATTCTGCCCACTGCCACAAATTCGATCCTGACTGGCTCAAGGTTGACTCAGCCTTTCATCCTTCCGAGGTGGGTAAAATGAGGACCCAGATTATTGGGGACAACATGCTGACACTAAACTGTAAACCGCTTAGAGGGGGCTGTAGAGCACTATGAAGCAGTATATAAGTCTAAGTGCTGCCTGCCTGCCTGCCTGCCTGCCTGCCTGCCTGCCTGCCTATCTATCTATCTATCTATCTATCTATCTATCTATCTATCTATCTATCTATCTATCATCTATCTATTATCTATCTATCTATCTATCTATCTATCTATCATCTATCTATCTATCAATCATCTATCTATCTATCAATCTATCATCTATCTATCTATCTATCTATCTATCTATCTATCATCTGCCTGTCTGTATCTATCTATCTGTATATCATCTATCTTATAGTATCTATCCATCTATATATCTGTCTGTCTGTCTATCATCTATCTATCTACAGTATCTATCTACCTACCTACCTACCTACCTATCTATCTATTATCTATCTATCTATCTATCTATCTATCTATCTATCTATCTATCTATCATCTGTCTATCTATCATCTATCGTCTGTCTGTCTAATCTCTATATCGAAGAGCTGTGGTGGCACAGTGGTTAAAATGCAGCATTGCAAGCTAACTCTGCCCACTGCCAGCAGTTCGATCCCGACTGGCTCAAGGTTGATTCAGCCTTCCGTCCTTCCGAGGTCAGTAAATTGAGGACCCAGATTGTTGGGGACAAGAGGCTGACTCTGCAAGCCATTTAGAGAGGGCTGTAAAGCACTTTGAAGTGGTATATATGTCTAAGTGCTATGGCTATTTACTAGAGAAGAGAGGATAACTCGTCTGTTGGTCAGCAACTATTCAGGGCATCAAAACGGCATCAAAAGGGAACGATTATACAAGAGTTAGGGCAGATCTGGTGAAGAAGACCTTCTGTAGACCTTCAAGCCAGGTTTACGGTCGCTGCCCGGCTTCTAGGCACTCTTCCTGGCTCTGAAGCAGCACTTCTCAACCATAGCAAGTTCGAAGCACGTGGACTTCAACTCGCAGAATCCGTAGATTCTTAAAACTCGCTTATGTTGACTTTAACACCTCTTTGGACCAGTCGAGCTTACGAGGCAGCAAAGATCAAACGGGGCCCGTTGCCAGCTCGATAATCTTAGTTCTAGCCATTGTCAGGTATCAAAAAAAGAAAAGAAAAAAAGAGGCAGAAAGGGCTGAGTCCAAACTTTTCTCTCTTAGTTGCAACCCAAGCGGTTTTCCTGGACCGAATTGGCACGGACTCAACCAGGGCCTTGCCAGCTCCCTGCTGAAGCAGCAGAAGCTGTGAAGGTCTTATTATTTTTTTGGTGGGTGGTTTCGTTTTTTTGTTTTTTGTTTTGCTTTGGTCTCCGGGTGGAATGTGGACCTCGGCGTTTCCTCCTCCACCTGGTACCAGCCAGCACGCAGGCAACCTCTGGCCTCGCTCCTCCACGCGCCTTACATGGCCAGGAAGGAATGTGAGCCGAGGGTTGAAGCGGGTTTGAAGATTACCAGCCCGGTAGCCGCCCCTCGAGAGGCATTGCGAGACTGGATGCTCTTCTGGTGATTCTTGGCAGAGGAATTTCCCTTCTTTTCACAGAACGGCAGAAAGGAGGAATCTGGGAAAGAACAGAAGTAGAGAAAATACCTCGCTCGCATACTCCTCCTCTGGTGGATTCCGGCGTTCCCTTTGCAAAGGGGCTCAATTGGAACCGCCCAGATAAGCAAAGGCAGTGTGGGAAAAAAGTATGAACTTGGCAATGGCTGGAAAAAAAAAACAATTAACCTCAAAAAAAAAAAAATAATGTCAGCCAAGCGTCTTAGGAAAGGACACAGATAGCCTGGACCAAGGAGAGACGCAACCTGGAATTAAGGAGAAACGTCCGAACAGGGAGGACAATCCACCAGCGGAACTACTTGCCACCAGAAATGGTGGGTTGCTTCATCACTGGAGGTTTTTAAGAAGAGACTGGACAGCCCACTTGTCTGAAATGGGATAGGATCTCCTGCCTGAGCAGGGGGTTGGACTAGATGACCTACGGGAGGTCCCTTCCGGTTCTATCTGTTAACCTCTTAAAGAGGCAAATGTATATAAAGATATGAAAAGAATATAGAAGAGTTTGGTTATAGACAGAATACCACAACAAATTAAAGAGGAAAATATGTGTGTGTGTGTGTGTGTGTGTGTCACCTCAGTGCCAGAGGCAGGAAGTAGCATCCACAAGGATGCTTTGGGGACTAGGGACCTTGTAGGTCATCTAGTCCAACCCCCCACCCCACCCAAGCAGGAGACCCTACACCATTTCTGACCGATGGCAGTCCAGTCTCTTCTTGAAAGCCTCCAGTGATGAAGCTCCCACAACTTCTGAAGGCAACTTCTGTTCCATTGAATATAGAACACCAGACTTGGAAGGGACCTTGTAGGTCATCTAGTCCGACCCCCCTTCCAAGCAGGAGACCCTATACCAATTTCTGGCAGATGGGAGTCCAGTCTCTTCTTGAAAGCCTCCAGGGATGAAGCTCCCACAACTTCTGAAGGCAACTTCTGTTCCACGGGTTGATTGTTCTCATTGTCAGAAAATTCCTCCTTATTTCCAGGTTGAATCTCTCCTTGGTCAGTTTCCATCCATTATTCCTTGTCTGGCCTTCAGGTGCCTTGGAAAATAGCTTGACCCCTTCCTCCTCTCTGCTATCATGTCTCCCCTGGTCCTTCTCTTCCCTAGAGCAACCACCTGCAACCGTTCATCGTATGTTTCAGCCTCCAGTCCCCTCATCATCCTGGTTGCTCTTCTCTGCACTTTTTCTACTGTCTCCAGAGTTCATTGGAAAATTGGGATGCATAGACTCGCAATTTCCTCTGGGCATTGGGGTTGGGTCCCAGGCATCTCCTTCCAACCTGAGGTTCCACTCTTAGACAAGGGATAATGGGTGGAAACTGACCAAGGAGAGATTCAACCTGGAAAAAAGAATTTTTACGACAGTGAGAGCAATCGACCCGTGGAACAGACGTTGCCTTCAGAAGTTGTGGGAGCTTCATCCCTGGAGGCTTTCAAGAAGAGACTGGACTGCCATCTGTCAGAAATGTGCAAGGTCTCCTGCTTGGGCAGGGGGTTGGACTAGATGACCTACAAGATCCCTTCCAACTCTGCTAATCTGTTAAACCCGATAAAAGTGCAAAGAAGAAGAACCGAGATGATTAAAGGCCTGGAGACTAAAACAGACGATTTGTGTTTGGCCGGTGTAGAGAAAAGTAGGGGTGACATGATAGCAGGATTCCAGTATTTGAGGGGCTGCCACAAAGAAGAGGGAGGATTTTTTTTTTTAAAAAAAGAGACTGAACAGTCACTTGTCTGAAATGGCATAGGGTCTCCTGCAGGGGGAGCAGGGGGTCAGGCTAGAAGACCTCCAGGGTCCCTTCCCGCTCTATTCTGATGGATGGATTTAGGACTGAGTCTGACCAGGAGATGGGAGGGCGTTTGCTTAAGGCTTGGCAGCCCTGCCAGATTAAGGGGCCCACATTCCTGGTGGATTAGTCTGGCCGGGTCTGCTGTGAAGCAGAGCTCAGCCAGAAAATTGGAATTAAGTGGATTTGCAGGTAGCAGCGCAGGGTGAATCCAGCCAAATTTAAAAAAAGAGAGAGGAGCAGCTCGCGAAAAAGGGCACCGAGGCCAGTTAAATTTCCTTGAGGGGTTTCATTATGGACGTGCTGCAAACCTGCAAATAGGTAGAGCATAAATAATTCTAATGGCTGAGAGATCCCTCCTTTTTTTGAACCTGAGGGAAGCATGCTGAGAATGTCCACTTGGCTTTAGTTAAGATTATGCTAATTTGGGGGATTTCCCTCCCTCACAAGCCAGTTTCCCATGGAAATAATAGTTTCCCTCCCCCTCTCCCTCTCCCTCTCCCTCCCTCCCTCTCTCTCTCTCTCTCTCTCTCTCTCTCTCTCTCTCTCTCTCGTTCTCTTCTCTCTTGTTCTCTCATTCTGTCTCATTCTCTCTCTTCTCTGTTCTCTCCTTCTCTTGCTTCTCTCTTTCTCTCTCATTTCCTCTTTCTCTCTCTCATTCTCTCTTCTCTGCTCTCATTCTCTCTCATTCTCTTTCTTCTCTCTTGTTCTCTCAATCTGTCTCATTCTGTCTCATTCTCTCTCTTCTCTGTTGTTTTCTCCTTCTCTTGCTTCTCTCTCTCTCATTCTCTCTTTCTCTCTCATTTCCTCTTTCTCTCTCTCATTCT